ATTATCACCTACCCCCCTCTCCTTTGGCGCACCCTAAAAACCCCCATCTCTTCGGGGAAAAGCACCCCCCCCCTGCTAACTTCCCGACCTCCACTCTTTCACATGTTCTCTGGTAATGTACAGCGCTGAGCGAACTATTGCGCTTTATAAATACTGTATAATAATAATAATAAATCATAATAATAAGTAAGCAAGCTAATCTCAGTTAAAAAAAAGATGACAAAACATTCACCCTAGATTGTGTTACAAAGGGAACGCAAATCCGAAACAGCATTACCAACCCCCCACTGCGTGACATAATTCTCTGGCGTAACAGTGGCGATCTCAACAGTAGTATCCGGGAAACACGGGACCATCGTACTTGACATCCAGCACATCCTTCTGCTGCACCTTTTCCCAAGGCACATTCAGATGAATGGGCCCACCTTAGAGAACTTAAGAGAAGCTGTTTAAATGACCCATGTGAGGTCTATATTACATGTTCCTTTTGATAAGCAAGGAGGAAACGTGGTGCTAGATTACTCTATGCAACAGTTAAAAACTGATGCGATTGTATAATATGTATGTTTAAAGCACTGTATAAAATTGAATGTGTTATATCAGGGCAGACTGACAACTCATGGGGGCGCCCGGGCAAATAGGGGATCATGGGGCCCCTGTGTTCTTGCCCAAACTCAAAAAAGCCTATGAAAAAGGTACCAGGGGCATCTCATGGGGGGCCCCCTACTGACCCCGGGCCCTCAGGCAGTGCCCAAGTTTCCAAATGGTCAGTCCGCCCCTGTGTTATATAAGTACCTATAATAAAAAAAACAAAAGAAAAAAAGAAAACACAATCACAAAAAAATTGCTGCTACGTTGTTTCTTCAGTAGTATGTGCCCATAATTGAATCTTCAATAGCTGTACCTGCACACATTGAGTATATAGTTCTCTAAAATCATTATCATAAGTTGTCCCTTACATATGTCATGCTCAAGTTATAAGAATGAGTTCCAAATTTCATACAGGTGATGAGGATTTAAATAAATCATTATATGTCTTTTTTTAAGCATAGATCTAGTTTTGGAGCAATGCTGCTCACATTCTAACCTACCATTTGTCACTTTCAACACTGAGGTATCTTCTTTACAGAAGAGGATCCTTGTATTCCATGTACAAGGTGATCAACTGCAGGACTTCAGACCAAGTTCTTGTGTATCCCCCAGCTATCCCCCAGCTCTAGTATTCCCCACTAAAGGAACAGCTTAAGTTCAACAGCTCACGCATTTAACCCTCAGGACCTGGGCCTCCCACCCAGGATTCTATTCTCAGATCACAGCCCCAAGAACCAAAAGTCTCTTCTAGAATCCAGCTCATCATATTTGTCAGAGCCTGATCCAACCCACTAAATTCTAAGGATTTGCTGATAAACATGCAGAGTTAACCTCTCCTGTACCTTTGACAAAGCCCTCTGGATAAACTCAACAGAGTCTGGCAGATTTTACAGCATAGGAACATCCCAGAGCACATTTAAGGAAATTCAATAAAAAGTCATAACAACAATTTTGTGGTGGTAGTCCCCTTTAGAACTACCAGGCCTAATTCAATAAAGTTACCAATATGAATATAGCAAATTAAGGTAGTTCTAACTTACTGCCACTTTAAGAAAGATTTCTTTGGCAGTGAGAGATTCTTTAAGAATTACCACCAGATTAAGAAATAGGTGGTAATTAAGACCAGCTCTGAGCTGGCATACAGAGGAACACCAGTACTTAGAATGGAGTATGTCTGTGCTGAGGAAGCTGTCATGTATATGATCATTTTCTGCACAGTACCATAAACCCTTGCCCATTCAGCCATCAGACAGGAGATTCTCCAGCTGAAAGCAACATGTGAACAAAGGGGATGGGGATAGTCATGATGTCATTATTAACACTTTTGGTACTGCGCCTGTTGGAATTCTAAAGGGTGTCTACGACACCCTTCATGAATTCTCCAGATTGTCTGAAAGAGAATTTTGGAAATCAGGAAACTAACAGAACTCAATGCAGGCTTGTAGGGAAAAATATCCTACATTTTTTTACACTCTGAAATTCTGAACTATTACAAATAATAAATACTTATAAAAAAAAAAAACCTCTCGCAACTATAGTTCTTGGTTTTTTTTAAACCAAAAATGTACATAGTATGCTGTAGAAGTATGTTTTAGTTGCTGGTTTTATATTCCAAAATGTGTTTTTATCTGGTTCATAACAAATGATACAGTAAACCCCGTTTATGTTAAATTGCTCCCAGTATGGATTATATTACACAGGTTTTGTTTTTTTTTTACAATATCTGAATCATGTGATAAAGTCAAGACTTTAGGTATGCTTTGTAAATAGTGTTATGGAGGGGTAAAAAAAAAGAATACTGACTATTTGCTTTAATTGCTGCTAGATTTGCTGGAGAAGTGCACATACAGTTTGTTTGCTTTATAAAAAATATATTAGATCATTTTACTTTGTATCAAACTTTTTTACTAATGCTCTTTGCTGCTGCTTGTATGCTTATGCTGGTAAAATATCAAATAGCTTTTGTTCAGTTTGGTTGATTGGTGGATCAACCACACAATGAAGTAGGAAATGATTACATGTTGTTTTTACTCAATTTAATTTTAATAGGAAAAATAGTAATAAGAGAGAACATATCCACTGTATGAGTACTTAAAGTGTTACTAAACCCAGGACCAGGGGTGGACTGACCATGTGAGCACTCGGGCACTGCCCGAGGGCCCGGAGTCAGTAGGGAGCCCCTATGAAATGCCCCTGGTAGGCTTTTTGGGTGTGCTTTGAGTGTGGGAAAGGACACAGCGGCCACATGAGTTGTCAGTCCACCCCAGCCCAGGACCCTGCATTCACTAAACCTGGTCTCCCACTGTACACACACACCATGGAAATGCAATTATTTTAGTAAATATAAACTGCTAAATACCTTTTCTCATCAGCAGTTAGAGCAGTGATTTCAGCAGAGCACTAGTTAAAGCTTGTAGGATAAGTTTTCTTTCTGCTCTAGGAGGATGTGAAACCTTTGACCCTCTGTCTGGACAGTGCTGATTGGCCCTGTGCTGATCACATGCACCCTCCTAGAAAAAAAAAAAAACCTATCTAGCAATACACACCAAACTGAGCATATGCATGTGGCTATGGATTCAGTCTGTATCAGGGGGGGTAATTTCAACAAGAGGAGGGGCAGAGAAGAAAGGATCAAGCAACCTTTCTACACAATGCAGAGGATTAACCCCTTAAGCTCCACAGTGAGTATAACAAGCATGCTTTATGGCATATACAGGCTGATTTTACTGTTGTGGGTTTAGTAACAGTTTAATAATGAGTTAAATCAGAACTCTAGGATTTTTTTTCTTTCGCATGCAGTGGAGCTGTGCCCACACTGCATGGATTAACAGCTTGTTTTGTCTAGGGGTGAGCACAGATCCTATACTCACCTGATGCTTCAATCCTTCAGAAAATGGTGCTTCCCCATGCCCAGCAGTGGATTGTGCCTGCCGTTTTCATGTGCAGAGCCAGACTATGGGATTGATGAGATCAGGAACAGTCCACCACACACAAGATCGATAGACCATGGGGGGGTCAGGAGCACCAGGGACCAGTCTTGCGATGGAGAGGATCAGTAGATTAGTTGAGTATATTTTGCCCTGCTATTCTTTTTAAAAGCTCAGCAAAACTGCTGGACATAATAGAAGTCTATGGGAAAGAGCAGCTAACCTGCATGAGAACAGCAGGTTAGCTACACTTTGCTCACAGTTATTATTATTATTATTTTTATACAGGATTTATATAGAGCCAACAGTTTGCTCAGCGCTTTACAATATAAAGGGAGACAATGCAGCAACAATACAGTTCAATACAAGAGGGTTAGGAGGGCCCTGCTCCTTGGAGCTTACAATCTAAGAGGGAGGGGTTAGTGGTACAAAAGGTAGTAACTGTGGGAGATGAACTGATAGGAGGAATAGAAAGACTCCAATACAGTGGTGTATTTAGGTTTTGTGCTGCCCTAGGCAACACAAAAATCGGCGCCCCCCCGCAGAGAGAGCCTGACATAGACCAACAACACCCCTGACTCCCACCTGAAAGAGCCTTCCACTACCACTGCCCCCCCCCCCATACACCAGCCACCATCCCCAATGGCGAGGGAGAGAAAGACACTTACCTTCACAGCTCCAGACATCTCCAGGAAGGAGAGTCGGGCTGTGCATACACCGTCATGTAACCCGCAACCTCTCTTGGAACCCACCAGGTCCCCATTCCGTGTGTGTCCCTTCTTCCATGCCTTCTTCCAAGGGTCAGTGCTGCCCCCCCCTCAAAAAATGCCACCCTTGGCAAATGCCTTGTTTGCATTGTGGTAAATACACCCCTGCTCTCCAATATGAGCTTAAGGGGGGGGGCAGGCTTCCCTGAAGAGATAGGTTTTTAGAGATCACCTAAGAGTGGGCAGAGTAGGCAATAGTTGGATAGATTGGGGTAGAGAGTTCCAGAGGATGGGGGAGACTCTGGAGAAGTCCTGGAGACGAGCATGGGAGGAGGAGACAAGGGAGCTAGAGAGCAGGAGGTTGTGGGAGAGAACTGTTTGGGTGATATTTGGAGACAAGATTGCTTAGTGGTTTCAGAGGTTAAGAATGGCCGTATCTTGGAGATGTTGCGGAGGTGAAGTCTACAAGATTGGACAGTGATTGGATTTGGGGCTGAAAGAACAGATGAGAGTCTAGGATTTCATCTAGTACCCTGGCATGAGGGGAAGGACTGATGGTTGTATTATTGATCTTGATGGAAAAGTCAGGGGAGGGGGCACGGGCTGGAGGGGAATAGTATGAGCTCCATTTTGGAAAGATTTAGTTTGAGGAAGTGGAGTGACATCCATGCCGATATGTCACTTAGTAGGTTAGTAATGCGAGAGGAGACTGAAGGGGTGAGGTGAGGAGTAGAAAGATAGATTTGTGTGTCATCAGCATAGAGATGGTACTTACATAAGCGGTTTGTGTTATGGCGCTGCGTTACTTTAACTGACAATTGCACGGTCATGCAAAGCTACACCAAAATTAAATTTACATCCTTTTTTTTCCCCACAAATTGGGCTTTCTTTTGGTGGTATTTGCTCGCCAGTGCATTTTTGCACTTTAAAAAAAAAGTCCGACAATTTTGAGAAAAAAATAAAAACAATATTTTGGACTTTTTGCTATAAAACATATCCAGTAAAAAAATGTAAAAATCAAATTTCATCATAAATTTCGGCCAAAATGTATTCTGCGACATGTCTTTGCTAAAAAAAATCCCAATACGTGTAAATAATTGGTTTACGTGAAAGTTATAGTGTTTACAAATGTCGGTATAGATACTGGATTTTTTTTTTATACTAATAATAGTGGTGATCAGTGACATATGGCGGCAATCAGCGACTTATGGTGGAGATCAGCAACTTATGTCGGGACTGCAGGACTGTGACGGACATTCTGACACTGGGGGGGAACTGACTTGGGCTCACTGACATCCCCAGTGACACCAATACAGTGATCAGTGCAAAAAAAAACACTGACGACACTGTACTAATGGCACTGGGGAGGAAGTGGTTAACTTTTGGAGACAATCAAAGGGTTAAGTGTGTGAGAGGAATGTGTTACTAGGGGGCAGGGGGTGTACCTTTCTGTTACACACTGTTCCGGAAGGCTGTGTCCAGCAATCCTGGAATAGTGTGCTGAAAGCTGACAGGGAGGAAAGCTCCATTGAAAACAATGCAGCCTTCCACTCTGTCAGTGATTGCCAGCAATTGCCGGGCTCTGGCGGGTAATCATCCGGTGATTGACACCCGCAGCCATGATCAGTGCCGCCTAGTGCGTGCCCCCTACCCCAGAATGCAGGATCACGTTTATATACGTGATCCTGCGCACAGGGGCCACCTTGTAGCAGTATATGCACTGCGGGCGGCCCCCTAGTTGTTAAAGCCATGGGAGGTTATTATGTGACCAAAGGAGGAGGTGTAGATGGAGAAGAGAAGGGGTCCAAGGACAGAACCTTGATGGACCCCTACAGAAAGAGAAGTGGAGAGGAGGAGACAGAGTTATAGGTAACACTGAAGGAATGCTGTGGCAGGTAGGAGGAGAACCAGGAGAGAGCAGAGTCTTGGAGGCCAAGACAGAGGAGTTTTTGAGGAGGAGGGGGTGGTCAACAGTATCAATAGCCGCACAAGAGGTCAGGTAGTAAGAGTATGGAGTAGTGGCCATTGGTTTTAGCAGTTAGTAAATCATTAGTGAGTTTTAGTAGGACAGTTTCAGTGGAGTGTAGTGAGCGAAAGCCAGACTGTAAAGGGTCAAGAAGGTTGTTGTCAGTGAGGTAGAAGCTCAGGCAATTGTAGACTAAGCGTTCTAAGAGTTTAGAGGTAAACAGGAGCAGGGAGATGGGTCTTAAGTTGTTCAGGTTGGTGGGGTCCAGCGAGGACTTTTTAAGTATGGGGGTGATCTGTGCATGCTTTAGAGGGGTGGGGAAGGCACCATCAGAGAGGGAGAGATTGAAGAAGTGAGGGAGCATAGGACAGAAGACGAGGGTGACCATAGTAGTTGAGAGGGACAAGATCCAGGGGGCAGGTGGTGAGACAGACTTCTGAGAAAACTTTAGTGACCTCTTCAGTAGTAGCAAGGTCAAAAGAGGAAAGTGTTGAGGGAGGTTTAGTATAATGTATGCTAAGTGGGATATATGTCTGTGTAGTGGAGATGCCCCCACGAATTGCATCAATCTTGTTTTTGAAATGATTTGCAATCTCATAAGCAGTGAGTGAGCTACTGCTGAGATTTGGTTTTATGCCACAATTGCTCTAGTGCATGACTATGTCGCATAAGATTTCTGGTTTTGTCAGTCTACCACGGTTGTGTAATGGTTGGGACCTGATACTTTGTGTAGTTAGAGGAGCAAGTGAGTCCAGTGTGGATGAAAGTGAACTGTTGTAGACAGCATTGGCCAGGTCAGGGCAGGACAGGGAGAGATTCTGTGAAATCTAAGAGAATGATAGTGGTTATTTCAGAGGAGAGAAAGTAGGGTAGCCAAGCGGTTAGTGAGGACTTGAAAGGTGGTCAATGGGGATAGAAGCAAACCAACTCCACCTCCTTTCCAATCACTGGGTCTGGGTGAGTACAGAGAAGGCCTCCATAGGAAAGTGCTGCGGGAGAAGCAGAATCTGATGCTTGAATTCAGGTTTCTGTAATTGCTAGTAGGTTAAGGGAATGGAAGACAAAAAGGTCATGGACAGAGCGGGCATTCCACACATGAAAAAGGGAGGGTGGTTTTTAGGAGCATGGGGATTGAGATTAAATTGAGTGGATTGAGGCTATTCCTGGAGGAAGGAGGGTGCCTGGAGTGGGGGTGAGATACTGGAGGAACAGGGTTTGGGGAGATATCCCCAGAGGTTAGGAGAAGAAGGAGCGTGAGGAAAGTAAGATGGGAGTGGGATGTATATGAGTGCACATGCCTTCCTGTCCTGGTGTTTGGGTCAGCAGGTGAGTAAAGTATTAGCAGGAGGTGATGAGAGCAGTAGTAGGGAGATGGGAGAAGTAATGGGTGATATGTTTAGCTTTGGGATTGAGCAGAGGGGTAAAGCAGTGAGATTTTGAGAACAGAGGATAGTAATATGAAAAGGGAGGACCAGAGGGGACATGTTAAAAGGTACATGGTGTGTGAATCGAACTTGTAGGAGATATTTCCCAGGGTGTTTGCTTGCAGTCCATCCAGCGTGCAGTGGAGTTCTTTGTTGTATCTTCCTTCTGCTTTACTTAAACTGCTGTGTTCAACTGCTGTTTTGCACTCCAGAAGAAAGTGCACTCACGCAGGACAATGCCCCTGTTTGCAACTGTACCCCCCGTCTGTGACCTTCCCCATAAGCTGGTCTAAATGTATAGGCAGATGATCAAATGAGCAACTCTTCTCTACCCCAATTAGGACTGATAAGGATCATATGAATTTGGGGAG